TCTACATATAATAAATTACATATAACAGCTTTATAATAATGGAAACATTAATAAAATAAAGCTAATCAAAACCATTTGGCTTACAATCCTGCTGATTGGCAATTGAAGCTGGTCTCAGCAGGACAGTTGTTTTATTTCTTTCAGTCATGGGTCTGGAACTCTGGGCCTGTGCGCTGTCCCTGAGCTCTTCAGCTCAAGGCTAGTGCGCTATCACTTGAGCCACAGCGCCACTTCTGGCTTTTTCTGCTTATGTGGTGCTGAGGAATCGAACCCAGTGCCTCATGCATACAAGGCAAGTACTCTACCACTGAACCACCTTCCCAGCACCTTGTTTTCTTTTTTGTGTGCCATTATGGAGCTTGAACTCAGGGCCTGTACATTGTCATTGAGCTTTTTTTCACTCAAGGCTGGTGCTCTACTACTTGAACCACAGAACTGCTTTTGGCTTTTGGGGGGTTGATAGGAATTAAAATTCTCATGGGTGGAAGTGGCGCTGTGGCTCAAGTGGTAGAGCGCTTGCCTTGAGCTGAAGAGCTGAGGGACAGCGCCTAAAGACAGAGTTCAAGCCCCTCGACCGACCAAAAAAAAAAAAATTCTCATGGGTGATTCTTCCTCTTCCTCCTCCTCTTCTTCTTTTTTTGTCTTGGGGCTTGAACTCAGAGCCTGGGAACTGTCCCTGAGCTTTTTTGTGCAAGGCTAGCACTCTACCACTTTGAGCCACCATGACACTTCTGGTTTTCTGGTGGTTAATTGGAGATAAGAGTCTCACGGACTTTCCTTCCCCAGGATGGCTTTGAACTGTGATTCTCAGATCTAGCCTCCTGAGTAGCTAGGATTACAGGCATGGGGCACCAGTACCCGACTGGACTTTTCTTCTTACATGGCTTCAAACTTCAGTCCTCAGATCTGAGTTTCCTGAATAGCTAGGATTACAGGTGTGATCATTGACTCCCAGTGAAATTTAAAGATATTAATAGACTGTCTTCATGGAATATTCAAAATAACATATTGAGCTTTATTTTTCGTTGCTCAAAACAATGATACCACTAAGGAGAATTCACACATAAACATTCTTGATTTTGTTTAGACAGAGTCAATGTTAATTGGAGAGAAACTAAAATGTATGGCCAGGGTTTAGAAAATGAGAGATGTTTTCATTTGAGATTGACTACGTTCAATTATATGTGAAGGGTACAATGAATGATAGAAATTGGTTGTCACTAAACATTTGATTTAAAAGACAAAAACAAAAAACAACAGGTAGGAACAGGTGGCTCATGCCTATGATCCTAGCAGCTTAGGAGGCTGAGATCTGAGGATTGCGGTTCAAAGCCAGCTCAGGCCGGAAAGCCTGGAACTCTTAGCTCCAATTAACCACCAAAAAGCCAGAAGTGTAGCTGTGGCTCAAGTGGTAGAGTGCCAGTCATGAATGAAAAGACTAAGGAACAATGCCCAGGCCCTGAGTTCAAGTCTCAGTACTAAAGCAAGCAAACACTTGTCATTATATGAAATGAATATCAGATAAATTAATATTTTCAAAGAGCTGAAAACCTAAACATTGAAACTGGGATATTTCCACCTCAGTAGGTGGTCTAAGGAGGTGGAGCTACAAAAGCTACAAGTTCTCTGGTGGAATCAGGGAAGTAGAGTGTTAGGCCCACAGACTCACTGGAATAGAAGGAGCTTCTGCAGGAGTCATTGCAGTAGAGTTGAAACCACATCGGTTTGTAAGCAGTTGAGCCTAGGGGACTCCAACTCTATCAACCTCAATGTGTTGGCTATAGCACATGTCAATCAAGTACATGCTTATTTTGGAATCAGAACTTCCCAGGCTTGGACAGACTAGCAAGTATCTACACCTCCTAATATTTAATATGCTCTAAATATGCCCAGCAAGAAGAGGTCCATGCTAAAGAATGACAGCAGACAGGACACAGGAACTTTTGCAGAGTATCTACAAAATCATGGAAATCATCCTTACATTTTAATACTTCAAAACCCATGTGATACCTAGCACCTTAACCTTAGAGCAATACAAATAGTTCTTCTAGTAGTTTTGAATCATCTGCAACTCAAGTTGTTTTTTTTCAGTCGTGGGGCTTGAACTCTGGGCCTGAACGCTGTCCCTCAGCTCTTCAGCTCAGGGCTAGTGCTCTACTACTTGAGCCACAGCACCGCTTCTGGTTTTCTGAGCAGTTTATTGGAGAGAAGAGTCTCACAGACTTTCATGCCTGGGCTGGCTTTGAACCGTGATCCTCAGAGCTCAGCCTCCTGAGTAGCTAGGGTGACAGGCGTGAGCCACCAGTGCCCGGCTTTCTTGCAAAGTGGCTTCTTGGAAATTTAGGCAATGGATTCTGAACTAACAAAAGCTGAACTGGCTCCAGAATTATTAGGGAAAATAAAAGTGTTTCCATGTAAAACAAAAAGTAAGCATGGGATTTTATCTGGGAATAAGAAAGTCAGGCTTCAGGAAAGTTAGCAGCCAATTATGCCATCTTTTTATTGACTACAAAGCTGAGGAAGTTGAGTGTGGTGTGACAAGACTCAGGGAACCAGGAATGATTCCAGGACTCACTCTATGGGGATATATTGGAAATAATTCAACAGGCCATGACCCACCATTTTTGAAGTCTTATTATACAAACACTACAAAAGAAAAAAGAAAAACCTATGAGATATGAGAAAAGGAAAAGGAAAAAAATTACCTCTATCATCATGACCCAGAGAGAACACAGTTAATGTTTCCCTCAATACTCTTCCACATTGCTTTCTATCAAAACAATCCTACATAACCTTGCCCCCGTAAGAATCATACCTCACACACCATTCGGATATCCGTGCCTCTCCACTTGACATCTAGAAACTATCTCTCCATGTCAAGAAGCCTTTTATGGCTTCTACTTCAGTCTTTTTATTTTTATTTTTTTTTGGGTCCAGTCATAGGGCCTGAACTCTGGGCCTGGGCACTGTCCCTCAGCTCTTCAGCTCAAGGCTAGCGCTCTACCACTTGAGCCACAGTGCCACTTCCGGCTTTTTTCTATTTGCTTATGTGGTGCTGAGGAATCGAACCCAGGGCCTCAGGCATGCAAGGCAAGTGCTCTACCACTGAGCCACCTTCCCAGCCCCTACTTCAGTCTTTTTAATAACTGCAGAGACCATTTCTTCTGGGAAATGTACCAAAATGGGAATGACCACTTGACTATCATTAGCATCAATGTCATTCATTCCTCTTGCCATATCTTCATGAGTAATTCTGGCTACTCAGGAGGATCATGGTTCAAAGCCAGCCAGGTACTCAAGTTTATGAGACTCTTGTCTCCAATTAACCAGCAAATAGCCAGAAGTAGAGCTATGGTAGAGTGCTAGCCTTGAGTGACTACAGCTGAGAGACAGTGAAGCTCTGAGTTCAAGCCCCAGTACCAGCACACACAGAAAAGTACTGTATACTACAGCCTGCACTCTGGGTAATGACTGGCGCTCAAAAGACCATCTCCTGGTGGATGTTCCAAGGTCTTGCTTCTAGGAGTGCCCTGCTCAAGTGTCTGGGGACCAGATAGCTCGAGTGAACAGCTGCGCTGTACTCCAAGTCCTGCTTTATTTAGAATATCACAAAAACCATAATAATCCTTCAGACTTCCTATCTGGCAGAATTCAGTTTTACTGTGGGAAAGGATGAATCTTGTAAAAGAGTAAGTATCATTTAGTAACTAAAAGCTACAGTCTAGGAAAATCAGGTCTAGCCTTCTTATTTTTGTATTATTTAGTCACTAATTAGTACCAGGCACAGTGGCTCAAGCCTGCAATCATAACTACTTGGGAGGCTGAGCTTGGCAGATGATGATTAGAGGCCAAACAGGGCAGAAACTGAAAAGTTCTTGAGATTCCATCACCACCAATGGTTGGGTATAGTAGTGACAAAGGGAAGCACAAATAAGAGGAGTAAAGTCCAGGTAGGCCCTGGCATAGAGTGACAGAAGTGGCTCAAATGGTAGAGTGCTTGCCTAGCAAGCATGAGGCTAAGATTAAAATGTGCTAGTAGACAAACAGCAGCTAGTGTTACTGCCTGTGTCTGGAATTGTGAAATGTGTATAATAAATATTTGGGAACAATACTTATTTTCACATTTTGATCCTACTCCAGAAAATCCAATTAAAATGTGTAACTGAACACATTAAGTGGCTCAGCTCACATTTATAATCTGAGCTACTTAGGAGGCTGAGATCTGAGGATTAAAGTTTAGAAGCCGCCTGAGTACAGGTGCATACACACAGAGAGAGAGGGGAGAAAGAGCAGTCTCTCCAAATAACTGGAAAATTAAAATCCTGCTTACAGACACTTTGAATTTTGGAAGAAGCACATGACTCAGCTGCAGTGGCTCTCCAGATCATAATCACTGGGAGTAGGTCCTCTAAGGTGAGCCCACATACCCCAAGATGCTCTTGGGGTACCCAGCAGAGATCACAGTAGTCACAGGGCGACCCAGGCGAGACACATTTCTTGTAGAACAGGTCCTCGTGGGGACCTTCCCGAGAGCCAGCTTCATACTTGAGGGATTATCTAGGTAACTTGGCACTCAATGTGCTCTCCTTGAAATCGGAAATCCTTTACCAACTTCTCCTGAAACTAGTGGACACATAAAGACTGTAGGGATTCGATATGTTTTTTGGTGCCAGCCCCAGGACTTGAATTCAGGGCCTGAATACTACCCCTGAGCTTTTTTTTGCTCAAGGTTAGCACTCTACCAATTGAGCCACAAATCCATTTCCAACTTTTTGATGTTAATTGGAGATCTGAGTCTTACAGACTTACTGCTTGGGCTGGCTTCAAACCACAATCCTCAGATCTCAGATCCAGGATATTGTGTGACAAGGATTACAGGCGTGAGCTTGGATATGAGTTTTAACATTCTTTAAAAACCCCTCATCTGTTATGAAATGCCAGAAGGAGTCCAATGAAGCAAGACTTTGTCAAATACTGAAACAGACATTAAAACAATGGTATCATGATTAAATAAGTTTTATTGTCACATTTAACTGCTTTGTCAGATATACACTGTAGATTTCAATATGGCATAAAAATAATATTTTCCTGAATGTCAAAATCTGAACAGAGGAGATGGCAATGGCACTTAAAACAAAATTAAGTTCACACTGGTGCTGAAGCTGCTAGTAGGTAGCGGATAAAAATTACGAATACATTTACAGATACCATGATCTGCAACATTTCAAATCAAATGGCAGTGGTGTAAGGCAGACAGAACCTGATGGTTACCACACAGACCCACAGCGTGCACACCGAGGAATAGCAGTCTCCATCACTGCTGATTCTGTTGAGAGCTGGCTTCACAAGTAAACATCCCTCCCAGAAGACGAAGCTACTTTTTGGAGCCAGATTTTAAGCCTCTCTAATGATTTCCTTCTTCTTACAGGCTTCAACTAGTCTAGAACAGTTAAGCCTCATGTATGAACTCCAGGTGTGACCTTCTCATAAAACATTGGATCTTGCCATATCCAAACCAGGAGCTCAACAGACTCATGAATGTCTTAGTGGTTTCACACATTCTGGGCCAGAGTAGAAAACAAGCAGTAATTAAGTAAAAATGTAAGTTCATCCCAACTGTCTCTATACATTCTGTAATAATCTCCCAAATGACAACGTTAAAAAAAAAAGTATGGTTATTGAGATTTAAAACAACCTTTATTCATCAAGATTCCCCAAGTTTATTAAATTCCTTTCCTCCACAAATAAAACTAACACTAGGGTTTTTCAGATGATCTAAGTGAGTTCTATCCCTCACATGTGAGCTCAGCTAACGCCATCATGTCTGGAATCTGTCTGTCTGGCACGCGCCCCTCTGGTTTCCACTCTGTGTCTTTCCGAAGTCTCCAGAGACCACAGTATGCTAGTGTAACAGGCCAGTTGCTGTCACCCACCGAAAGAAAATTAACTTATTTATGATATACTTATTTTGGTGATTACTTACTCGTAGTTAGTATTTCTATATTTTTTTAAAAAGGCAACCATTTTAAGTGACAATACATATCAGGCTAGTAGAAAAAAGTTGAAACAAAGCCCTCCCTTCTGATCTTACAATCATGCAGACAAGAGAAGGTATGTCTGATTTGTTCCAATCAGGCTTCTTGGAATTAATAAAATTTCTTTTCTGGCAAAGATTAATTTGGCTCATCATAGAAAGAAGTTCTTTGAAAGCTGCTGCTAAACTTGTTTCCCATTGAAAAAGTAAATTTCAAGGCATGATAGTGCAAGAGGTAAGTTTTTGATTTATAGAACATTTATAGACTAATTGTGCTTAGTCTCTAATTTCCGATTTAAAGAACAGAAACTATACTGATAAGTTTCACTTCACCTAAATTTACCAGTACATCCGTGAATTGCACCAGAATTAGGACAATTTGATTATCTTAATGATTCTGTCATGAAACCTGCACACTGCGTCTGGAGCTGAGGACCAGGGACAGAGTCTCCTTCAAGTTCTGTGCATAAGGACTTTCCCTTTGGGAGCCACGGTATCTGAGAAAGCAGTTCTCCTCCCAGACTGAGTTCTCAACAGACTCTCTCCATAAGCCATTAAGAAACACATTACCTAGCAGTTTCTGTTGTTTAGTTAAATCTGGGAGGTCTGAACGTTCCTGGGGTCCTCATCAGGATGTGTCACGGGTCTTGAATCCTTCGGATGTGAGTATTCACTATTAGAGGGCTCTGTAGGGTCAATCAAATTTTCATAATCACTGTCATCTGTCTCATCACTGTCTCCAGCTGCTCTTTGGGAAGGAAGATCTGTTCCACTTCCAGGATACTTCAGTCTGGCACTGGTGGAAACATAATTGGAAGAACCCACAGCTTGAGGTCTTGGCATGAAGACACTCCTTTCCATTGGAGACTGGCTCAGAGTACTTTCTTGATTGTTTGGGTGAAAATCAGAGTAGGGGGGAGGAGGATCAGAGGGTTCTGCATCTGCAAGTGTACTTCTGCCTTCAGCTGTAAACCCAGAATAGGGCATCCGGGGACTGAACACTGGCTCCAAGCTTTCAGCAGGCATCTGTCTGCTTAACATTGCCTGCTGCAGTCCTGGGTGAAACAGGAAGAACACTGTAACAACTTCAATATTTTCATAGATTTGCATCTTAGTGCGTCATACAGTCAACCTGAACATTCTAGAAAAATGCAGCAAGGCTATAAAATTGTTATCATTATTTTACAACTTCATAACACATTATAGTTTTTTTCAAAGTATTACCTGATACATTAATTCTCAAGCACAATAGAGCCTTCTGTAACCCTGGCCCTATCATTGCTGCATAATTTCCATTAAATATGCAGACACCACAGTTCAGAAAAGCTAAAATAATCTGACTAGAAGTAGGGCCCAGAGTATAGAACACACATCACTCCAGATCCTGAAACAAGCACTACCATGTCATGTGAACTTGGGCTTTTCCCGAGCTTCACATCAAGTATTATTTTCCTTTAGAGCTCCCAGTTAAGCATGCACTTAGGAACTTTCTTTTCCTTGAAAGATCAAAAGCTGACAGAGCCAGTGGTTCACACCTGTAATCTTACTACTCAGGAGGCTGAAATCTAAGGATCCCAGTTCAAAGCAAGCCAGGGCAGGAAAGTCTGTGAGAATCTTATCACCAATTAAACCACAGAAAACCCTGGCACTGTGGCTCAAAGTGGACAGCACCCAAGACCCTGAGTTCAAACCACCCAACCAAAACAAAAGCTAAAAAGCTCTGTGTTGGGTGGCACTATGGCTCAAGTGGTACAGCGCTTGCTTTGAGCTGAAGAAACAGCACCCAGGACCAGAGCTTAAGACCCACGACCAACCAAAAAAAAAAAAATTAGTAAATTCTGGTTGCATATATTAATGTACCACCATAACTTATTCTGAATACTATTCTATTATTGATTCAACTATTCTAAGTTCATCTAAAATTTGTCCTTTTTTTTTTTTTTAGTTTTTTTTTTGAGTCCGGTCGTGGAGCCTGAACTCTGGGCCTGGGTGCTGTCCCTGAGCTCTTCAGCTCAAGGCTAGCACTCTACCACTTGAGTCACAGCGCCACTTCCGGCTTTTTTCTCTTTGCTTATATGGTGCTGAGGAATCGAACCCAGGGCCTCATGCATGCAAGGCAAGCGCTCTACCACTGAGCCACCTTCCCAGCCCAATTTGTCCTTTTTTTGTGTGTGTTGTTTTTTGAGACCACGTCTTACTATGTATCACAAGTTGATTTTGAGCTCACAGTCCACCTGACTCAGTCTCCTGAGCGCTAGTATGACATCATGCCCAGAACATTTCTAATTATTTCTATAAAAATCAACATTTTCCTAGAAACATAAATAACCTTTTAACTGGATTATATATGTTCTTGTTAAATTAGAAGTTAGTTCACAAAATTGTCTTTTACACTTGATATTATTTGAAATACATTTTATAAATTGTATGTATAAATGTTAAATCTGTTACTATATTGGAATTATTAGATTCTCAGACCTAACTTTCATTTTAGCATCCCTAGGCTTCATGATATACATTTATGCATAACAAGCAAAAATCTGACAAAGAAGTCTACATCATGCTGGGCGCTGGTGGCTAACACCTGTAATCCTAGATACATAGGAAGCTAAGATCTGAGGATCATGGTTCAAAGCCAGCCTGGGCAGAAAAGTCCATGAGACTCTTATCTCCAGTTAACTACCAGAAAACCAGAAGTGGCACTGTGGCTCAAGTGGCAGAGCATTTGCCTTGAGCTGAAGCGCTCAGGGACAGTGCCCAGGCCCAGAGTTCAAGTCCCACGACCAACAAAAAAAAAGGGGGGGGAGGGAGGAACTGGGAATGTGTTTAGTGGTAGAGTGCTTGTGTAGCATGCATGAAGCCCTGGGTTAGATTTCTCAGTATCATATACACAGAAAAAGCCAGAAATAGTGTTGTGGCTCAAGTGGTAGAGGGCTAGCCTTAAGCAAAAAGAAGCTCAGGGACAGTGCCCAGGCCCTGAGTTCAAGCCCCAGGACAGGCAAAAAAAAAAGAAAAGAAAAGAAAAGAAAGAAATATACTGTCTTATGTATGTAAATGTAACCCCTCTGTACATTACCTTGACAATAAAATTAAATTTTAAAAAAAAGTCTGCATCACAACCCTGATATAAATCTAATACAACTGTTGACCTACTGGATTTATTTGAACTTTTTTTGTGTGTGTGTGTGGGGCTTGAACACTGTCCTTCAGCTCAAGGCAAGTGCTCTGCCACTTGAGCCACAGCGCCACTACCTGTTCTAACTTCTGTGTCAGCTTTTCTTTTCTTTTCTTTTTTTTGGGTCCCGTTGTGGGGCCTGAACTCTGGGCTTGGGCACTGTCCCTCAGCTCTTCAGCTCAAGGCTAGCGCTCTACCACTTGAGCCACAGCGCCACTTCCGACTTTCTTTTTGCTTATGTGATGCTGAGGAATCGAACCCAGGGCCTCAGGCATGCAAGGCAAGCGCTCTACCACTGAGCCACCTTCCCAGCCCTGTGTCAGCTTTTCTATCCTCACTTTTTCTTCCAGTTTTTAAGAGACCTGAAGGCTACTGCAAAAATAGCCCTTCCCACACTAGGAAATGGAAAGACCTTCCATGCTCTTGGATAGGCAGACTTAATATAGTGAAAATGGCAATACTGCCAAAATTAATATACAAGTTCAATGCAATTCCTATTAAAATCCCAATGACGTACATCTCTGAAATACAGAATACAGTCCAAAAATTCATATGGAACAACGAAAGACCTAGAATAGCCAAAACAATTCTAGGAAAAAAAGACAACATGGGAGGGATCTCGATGTCCGAACTTCAAACTCTACTATAGAGCCATAATAACAAAGACAGCATGGTACTGGCACAAAAACAGACTCGAAGGCCAATGGAATAGAAGATCCAGAAATAAAACTACATGCCTACAATCAGCTGATATTTGACAAAGGAGCCAAAGACATACAGTGGAAGAAACACAGCCTCTTCAACCACTGGTGCTGGGAAAACTGGGCAGCCACATGCAGAAAACTAAAAGTAGACCCCAAGTGGCGCTGTGGCTCAAGTGGTAGAGTGCTAGCCTTGAGCTGAAGAGCTGAGGAACAGGACCCAGGCCCAGAGTTCAAGCCCCACAACTGGCAAAAAAAAAAAAAAATCCACGTGAACTTTAAAAAAAAATCCAAACAAAAATGGGCTGGGATGTAGCTCAGTGGCAAAGCACTTGCCTAGCAAGTGCAACGTCCTGAGTTCGATCCCCAGTACCAAAAAGACAAAAAAAAATAGTTAAAAAAAAATAAAAGTGGACCCCAGCCTATCACCATGTACCAACATCAACTCAAAATGGATTAAAGACCTTAACATCAACCTGAATCTCTGAAACTACTGGAGGACAGAGTAGGAGAGACACTTGAACTTATAGGTACAGGAAGGAACTTCCTGAACAGAGTCCCAGGGTCACAACAAATTACAGAGATGTAACAAATGGGACTCCCTTAAAATAAAAAGCTCTGCACAGCTAAAGCTATACCAACAAAGCTAGAAAGACAACCAACTAATTGGGAAAAAGTATTTACCAGCAGTATATCAGACAAGGAGTTAATATCCAGTATATACAGGAAACTCAAGAAACTAATCCCTCCCAAATCCAACAAACCAATTACTAAATGGGCAAGGGAACTAAAGAGACTTCTCAGAAGAAGAGATAAAAATGGCAAAGAAGCACATGAGGAAATGTTCACCATCCCTGGTTGTGAAGGAAATGCAAATAAAGACAACCCTGAGATACCACCTTACCCCAGTCAGAATGTCCCACATCCTCAAGTCAGCCAACGACAAATGCTGGAGGGGATGTGGAGAAAGAGGAACCCTATTACACTGCTGGTGGGAATGTACACTTATACAACCACTTTGGAAAGCAGTCTGGAGGGTCCTCACAAAGTTAAATATTGACCTCCCTTATGACCCAGTCATACCACTTGTAGGCATCTATCCTGAACAACAGGAACCAGTATACAAGGACACGTGCACCTCCATGTTTATTATAGTACTGTTCACAATAGCCACGATATGGAAACAACCCAGATGTCCCACCACAGATGAATGGATCCAAAAATTGTGGTATACACAATGGAATATTATGCAGCCATTAGAAAGGACAAAATAATGGCATTTGCAGGGAAATGGATGGAACTAGAAGAAATCATGTTGAGCAAGGTAAGCCAAGTACAAAGAGACAAACGGCACATGGTCTCCCTGATAAGTGGATGTTAAATCCAAAATGTTAGGTGATACAACAAAATTAACAGGACTTAATAAACAAAGGACTTCCACTCAGCTGGTCAAACCACTACTAAATAACCCCATGCTGATGATCACATGTATGGTATATATGTGCACACCGGAGGGGAACCAGGACGACACAAAACTAGAGGGAACCAGGGAAAAACATACAACAGCGGGACCCATCAGCTGCACTGGACATTGACCAAGATGAACTAAGCAATTCAGTGGCAGCGATGGGAGGGAGGGAACACGTGGGAAAGAGGGAACAGCTGATGCTATGCAAAACAAAAGAAATGTACATACCACCCAATGTGGAAGAAATAACTGCATCGCAAAGCTCATAGAACTCATAAATGTTATAGAGTGTGATAGACAATTCGCTCCAGGAAAGTTAGAATGTGTTTGTGACTTTAACTGGGCATCACTATCCCACAATACTGTGAAATTTGGGAAATTATGTAACTACTTAATCACAATAAAAAAATTGAAGAAAAAAAAAATAGCCCTTCTCCTTAGGAAGAGCTTAGTGACAAGGGAATGTCTTTCCTTAAACAAGTTAACTTGGGGGGCTGGGAAGGTGGCTCAGTGGTAGAGCACTTGCCTTGCATGCATGAGGCCCTGGGTTCAATTCCTCAGCACCACATAAGCAAAAAGAAAAAAGCCGGAAGTGGTGCTGTGGCTCACGTGGTAGAGCGCTAGCCTTGAGCTGAAGAGCTGAGGGACAGTGCACAGGCCCAGAGTTCAGGCCCCACGACCGGACCCCAAAAAAAAACAAAAACAAAAACAAACAAGTTAACTTGGTGCTTGCTGAATAGAACTCATGCCACTTAATGTCTAATTGGATACTTAAAATAAGACATTTCAGGGCTGTGATGTAGCTCAGTAGCAAAGCAGGTACAACACTCTGGGTTCCATCCCCAGTACCAAAAAAAAAGTCATTTCCCTGATACTAATGATAAAATTACTAAGAAACATACTTCTTTCTTGTTCTTTTTCATTTTTCTTCTGAGTGACTTGTCTTCTTAATTTATTCACTTCTGCCTGGCAAGATTCAACAACTCGCTCACTCTTTTCGACATCTGCACACACTGCCTGAGGAGGGGAAAACATAAAAAGAAAGGTTAGTTTCATTCAAGCATAAGGCACTTCATAAACTCATTCTTTTTTGGGGGGGGGCGGGGGAGTTCGGTTGTGGGGCCTGAACTCTGGGCCTGGGCGCTGTCCCTTAGCTCTTCAGCTCAAAGCTAGTGTTCTACCACTTGAGCCACAGTGCCACTTCTGGCTTTTTTCTTTTTGCTTTTGTTGTGCTGAGGAATTGAACCAAGGGCCTCAGGCCTGCAAGGCAAGCACTCTATCACTGAGCCACCTTCCCAGACCCCATAAATTCATTCTTATTACAAACTTAGAAAAAGACCAGATGATTAAATCAAGTTCAAAACAGACACATGAGATAGAAAGGCCCAAGGAACTAGGATTGCTTTCTTGAGACAGGGTCTTGCTATGCTGCCAAGACTGGCCTTAAACTTAAAATGCTCCTGCCTCAGCCTCTTGAGGACAAGGATTACAGGCATGTGCCACTGGAGCCCAGTGGCACACCGCCATACCTGGGTCCAGATTGTTCTTATCCATTGATTTCCTTTCTTAATCCTTGTACAATTCAGCTTATAAATTCTTTTTTTTTCTTTTCTTTTTTTGTTGATCATGGGGCTTGAACTCTGGGACATGGGCACTGTCCCTGAGCTCTTCAGCTCAAGGCTAGCGCTCTGCCACTTGAGCCACAGCGCCACTTCCAGCTTTTTTCTACTTATGTGGTGCTGAGGAAAAGAATCCAGGGCTTCATGCATGTGAAAGCCAGCACTCTACCACTGAGCCCGACTTCCCAGCTTATAAATTCTTACGAATAAGAGATAAAATCTTGGGCTGAGAAGTTGGCTCAGCGGTAGAGTGCTTGCCTAGCATACATGAGGCCCTGGGTTCCATTCCTCAGCATCACATAAGCTGGAAGTGGTGCTGTGGCTCAAATGGTAGGAGGCTAGCCTTGAGCTGAAGAGCTGAGAGACAGCACCCGGGCCCAGAATTCAAGCCTCACGATCGAACAACAACAACAAAAAGATACAATCTTTTCCCTTGATTCATCTTTTTTTTTTTTTGTATATGTGCCAGTCCTGGGGCTTGAACTCAGGGCCTAGGCATGTCCCTGAACTTTTTGCTCAAATCTAATACTCTACCACTTGAGCCACAGCTCCACTTCTGGCTTTTTTGGTACTTAATTGAGGTAAGAATCTCCTGCCTGGGCTGGCTTCAAACCATGATCCTCAGATCTCAGCCTCTTGAGTCGCTAGGATTACAGGCATGAGCCACTGAAGCCCAGCTAATTCTTTTTTTTTTTTGTCATTCCTGGGACTTGAACTCAGGACCTGAGCACTGTCCCTGAGCTTCTTTTACTCAAGGCTAGTACTCTACCACTTGAGTCATGGCGCCACTTCTGACCTTTTCTGTTTTTGTTGTACTAGGCAAACACTATCATGAAGCCACATTCCCAGCCCTAATTCACCATTTTTATTGAAGTGAAAAGGAAATTTTTTGCTACTAATGTAGCTTACAAACGAAGAGTAAAAGACAGCAATGAGATGCTTTCAACATTTATTTATAACCAACAAAGTAAAAAAAAAGAGATAAGAAAAGATTTAACAGGAAAATAATAATGAGGGAAAGCTGGAAAAGAGAATAATACATTTCAAAGTCAAGGTTTAATAAAAGGTAACTATTTGAAGTTGTAATAATCACTATGAGATATCAGTATTTTCAGAGCTGGCCTTCTTTAATCTACAAGGAAATGTCTAATAGTCACTCTGAAGTTCTTTTGGACTGTGCTGACAGTTTGAAAGGGCATGGACATGAATTCAGGACAAAAGCTGTTTTCCACTGCACATTCTTCCCATAGCAGAAATACCAGAAACTTTCAGAAAGTAAGCTCGCACCAGTGAGCATGTAGAGTTCCAGATACAGTGAGTGGTAAGGGAAAGCCTAATTTGGAGACTGCCACTGTATGCTCTCTCCTTGTGCCCCAGGACTGCACTCAATCTTCCCCCTCTTTCAAATGCTGCCTTCATTCCTTACTTTATTCTTTGGAGACTTCTTCTAACAAAAGCTTTTTCTAGCCTGAGGAGAGCTTCTAACAAGCCACTGTCCTTCTTGCCCTGAAAGGCAAGTTAAAAGACTGTTTTGTGCTTAGGGTTTACCAGCAAGAACACATGATGATGAAAAGAATGTGGGAAAGTACTGTTAGTATCTAGCTCAGCATCTGGATCACTGAGGATGATTCCATAAATATTTGTTGTGTGGATGACTAAGAATGAACAGGCTCCACTGCAATCCTTCCACTTGAAAGAGGCAGGCCAGAAGCAAAGTAAGTGGTCTCAAAAGGAGGCAGAACTGAATTGAGCTATGAGCGGTGTTTTTTATTTTTTTTTTGGTCCAGTCATGGGGCCTGAACTCTGGGCCTGGGCGCTGTCCCTTAGCTCTTCAGCTCAAGGCTAGCACTCTACCACTTGAGCCACAGGGCCTCATGCATGCAAGGCAAGCGCTCTA